AGGTAGGAAAAGGTGGTAGGGAAATCCACCAATCACTATAAAACTATTTACCTAATTGCCTCATTTTTAACTGTGTACCTCACTCTCTCCTTCCATTATGGTTGGCGCTCTAAGGCTGGAGCCTCTGAGATTCAATTTCTTGAGATTTAACCTTCTGTCAGGGTTGAGTCTGGGGTCATCTTTGGCTGCTTGGGGTGAGGAAGGGGACCTTGGGCCCTTTGCCCTTAATTATTCTCCTTGTTTTCATCCTTGAGCCCCACCCCTACCTTTCATGGTACCGCTTACCTCTGAGTCCTGGGCTCTTTGGGCTTGTTTCTTATTGTTATTACCTCTGTAGGCATAAATAACTTAGTTATCACTTCTCCATTCCCTTTCCTCTTTCCAATGCACTGACACTTTCAAATGCCTTGACCTCTTATCAACAAATTGGTTCTTATTTTGTTATTGTGAATTTATACTTTTAAAATTAAAAAAAAATCTGTCCTGTCAAGTTGGTAGAGTTTGGAGCAGAGGTAAGTGCTCATACTTAGTCTACTATGTTTAACAGAAAGTCCTAGCCCATATTTTTATTGAATTAAATTTCATGAAAGACAAATTTCTGCAATTGACTACTAGCAATAAACTTTTTTGGGAGTAATAAGTCTGAATATTTAGGATGAAAGTTGAAGTATGTTCGTTTTATTTCCCAGTTAAAAAATGTTATTAGCCCCACAGTATGAATTTAGAATCTTTGGACTTATTTCCTTGGATTTACTTATAACAATATGCTTGAAATGTGTTAAGTAGAAAAATTGGCAGGATCAGAGTGTATGTGTGTGTTTGCAAGTGTGACAGCAAGAGAAACCGATAGAATCCAAGAGAAAAGCAGTGTTAGATTTTGGTGGGGAGAAGGTTGTTGGTATTTCAACACCTAGCTGCATACATGTTTTTAATATCATCAATAGTTTTTTAACGAGTACCTATGATTTATTTATTTATTTATTTTTTGCTGTCTAGTGCCACAGATCATTCATGCTCTATCAGTGTCTTAAAAATACTGCCCCAATTACACTAAGGATCCCTCTGAACGAATGCATTTCTGGCTCTTGTGGCCAGGCTATCTGCAGCTCTCATTATCTTGGCTGCTTTCAGAAGCCTCATATGAGCCAAATGGTGAACAATAGAGATCATTCTTCAGTCAAGCAACTGAGAAGGGGCAGCTTTGGTTCATTAGTCCAAAAAGGATCTTTTACTTTTTGAGTTGCAATCAAAAGATCAGTGGGACTGTCATTTCTCTTGTTCTTCTTAAAAAATCATGTGAATTTCCTTCATTTGGCAGTGTGAAGTCTTAGCTTCTTGCCCATCATTTTATAGTACCATTGTTAAGTGGTATGAATGGAAATAAAACACATTCCCCAAATATCTGAAGGTCCTGATATAAAGCTAATTGTGGAGAAAACAAGTATTTTTCTTATCTCTTCCCCTTGAAGAAATTGTAATAGATAATTCCAATCTTAACAGTTTCATCCTACTTCGATAAAACAGATTTTTCTCTCCACTACCTCTTTGGAGTAAATTTTCACCTTCCTGCTGGATTTATGACTGCTATTACCAATACGATGAATTATTACAGTGTTGGATAGCACTATGAGGATGCTGACTCTACTTTTTTAGAAAAAAGAGATAACCATGTTGGAGCATTAAAATTTCTTGATCATAGAAGACACTGAAACATTAGTCCAGATTCTAGGCAAGCTTTATCACTGACTTTTTGTGTGACTGTTGTAAATCATGTAAGTTTTCTGTGTCTACATTTATAAAATACGTAACCCTCAACTATATAGGGGAACTCCCAATCTACTGAGCCTAACATATTATAGATAAGCTTATCCAGGGGGTAAATCTCATGTTTTATTCATCTTTGTTTTCTCTTCCTTAAATTCATAAAAGTTACTCAGTAAATGTTGACTAGGGATCCCTGGGTGGCGCAGCGGTTTAGCGCCTGCCTTTGGCCCAGGGCGCGATCCTGGAGACCCGGGATCGAATCCCACGTCGGGCTCCAGTGCATGGAGCCTGCTTCTCCCTCTGCCTATGTCTATGCCTCTCTCTCTGTGTGTGTGACTATCATAAATAAATAAAAATTAAAAAAAAATAAATGTTGACTAAAAGAGTATGAAAGAAAAAAAAATGGATATAGGGCAAATGGTAATCCTGTGAGATCCTCGTGATGGTAATTTTATATAGATTTAGTATATTCAGCTTGATTCTAACGGCAAAGTTGAGAGGAAGCTGTGGGGCTGCATGTTCTTTAGTGTAACATGAAGTACTGAGCTGATTATAGTGGTTATGAGATTAAAAGATATATATTTTTAATGGGCAAATCCTTTGCTTGAATATAGGCTACAGTCAGTGTGTGGCTGAGCGGTGATCTCTCTTGTTAAAGGGGCTCCAGTGTACCCTTTGAATTACCTTTACACTCACTGACTGTTTTAAGGGCTTGGCTACCTTCCATATTTCTGAAAGCAACTCTCCATTAGATGTGAGAAAGATGTGGCTCACTTTCAACTTTGGCTGGCATGCGAGAAGAATGGAGAAGACAGCAGAGATTGTTCATGTATGTCCACCACAAGAAAGAGTTCTGGATTTTATAGTCATGGAAATTAAAAGGTGTGATCCAGAACAATATCCTCCTTTCAACTGTTCCCCCCCTCCCCCCCCCCCGAATGTTCTGTTCCTCTTCTTCCTTCATCCCAAGTAGTCTCTAAGGAGCATCCTGATACAAAAGAGATGTGAAAGGAAGAAGGGGCTGTCCTCATTTTCAGGTTTGAGGATGAAATTTCTAGTACTGATATTATAGGGGGATTGTGATTTGTTGTATTCATGAAAATCATGGTTTTCTTTTTTTCCCCCTTTCCCTTTCAAAGGAGACACCTCTCTCTGGACCTTGGTCTTCCTTCCTTAAGTCACTGCGGAGGCATTTGCAAAGCAAGCCAACACTTACATTTTATTCACTAAAGTAGAACAAAGCAACTGCTAATAGAAATAGCCTGTTAACTAGTGGAAAAAGACACAGGACTGATGGAAGCCACAGGACTTGTGTTTAGAGCTCGGTTCATTACTTTCACCCAGCCCGCCACTGACAAATCTTTCAACCTTTCTGAGTCTCTCTATCCTCATCTGCAAAATGGGGTTAATGGAGGATTTCATCTGCAACGTGGGGGATAAAAGAGATTAAAAGAGATGACGTGGGCACATTATGCCCGAAAATACATGAGTTGAATCTTAACAGTAATATGACTGCGTGGTTACAGCTAAAACTTTTTCTCCTTTCGCTGTCAGAAATGCCTTCGGCAGATTTCAAATTCTTTTTCACACAGTCTGCTCTTCTTTGGTGGGGGGATCCCATTACATGGCTTGTAACTCGAGTATACGTGGCTGCAATGTGCGTTCGGTTTCCTTTCTCAAGGGCTGATGCGAGCTTTTAAGAGAAGACACAAAAGTACAAAGCAAAAATGTCAGCACATGCCATCAAATCTTGGAAAGTCATCTAAAGGAGGAAAAGATTGCCGCTGAGAAAGGAAAAAGGCTCTTTTCCTGGGCATCATTTCTGCTCTTCTTGGAGAAAAAAAAAAAAAAAGCCCAGATGTTGCAATATTTTTCAAGGCACAATATTGTCCCAGATGGAGGAGGAAACCCTGACAAGCAGAAAAAAGGAGATACCTGGGGCTCCGAGGCAGCACCGGGAAAGGGGGGGGGGGCGCCCTGGGCTCAGAGCCTCGCAGCTCTTTGTTGGGGGCGGGGGAGCCCTCATTTCCGTGGGCCGAGTCCCGCCGCGCTCGCGCTCGCGCTCGGGGCTCCGCGACCCTCGCGGCCCCCAAGCCCCGCCCCTCCCAGCCCGCGCGGACCCCACAGCGCGTCGGACTGCGGTGCCTTTAAGACTTCTGCCTGCTGCACATGCTCAGCTCTTTGTGCGTCGTCGGAGTTTTTCTAAGGAAAAAAAAAAAAAAAAAAAAAAGAAGAAGAAATAGGCAGGAGGCTGGGGCGGAGGAAGGGGAAACGCGGGGGGAGAGCGCCGCACTTCTGCAGCTGCGGCCGGCCGACGGGAAGGGCCGCTTTTTGCTGAAGCTGCGAAGCCCGCCGGGTCCGCCCTTCGGTTGGTGGCGCTCCGGGGGCGCGTGGCGCGAGTGGGGCCGGGTCCCCCGCCCACCGGCGCGCGGAGCGGGGAGGCCCCGCGGGCACGAGGCCCGCACCTGGGACCAGCGTCCGCCGCGCTCGCGGGCCGGGCCGGGCCGGGCCGGCCGGGGGGAGTCCCCGGTCCCGGTCGGGGCGGGGCGAGACCACGGCGCTGGGCCCGGGGGGGGGGACACGTGGGCTCGCGCGGGGGGCGCAGGCGGCCCGGCCCCCCGCGCGCTCCAGCCGCAGCCCCGGTGCCCGGCTGACGGCCCGGGAGAGACGACGGCGGCCGGGGTCGCGCTGGCCGCCGGCCCGGCGGTGCGGGACCGAGCCCCGCTTCCCGGGTTCCCCTCCCGCGTTGGGCGCGCCCACCTCGGGGCTCCCGCGGCCCCCGCCCTCCCCGGCGCGCGGGGCTGGAGCGCAGGCAGTTGGCGCGAGCCGCGGGCGAGGCGGGGCCGCGCGCGGGGTCCCCTCCCCTCCCGTCCCCCGCCCGCAGGTCCCCTCCGGAGCGCCCCGCGCCGCCCGCGCCGCCCGCTCTCCGCCTCCGCCTCCGCCTCCGCCTCCGCCTCCGCCTCTGCCTCCGGCCGGGCCCCGGGGCGCCGCGGCGCCGGGCTCAGCTCGCGGAGGACAAGGTCAGGAGAGCGAGAGGCGATGCCCGAGGGCGCCTGGCGGGAGCCGAGCGGAGGCGACGGCGACGGCGACGGGGGTCTGTCCCTGCTGACCCGGGAGCGGGACTGGGGCAGGCGCCGGTGAGGAGGAGGAGGAGGAGGAGGAGGAGGAGGAGGAGGAGGAGCAGGAGGAGCGGCGGCGGCGGCGGCGGCGGCGGCGGCGGCGGCGGCGCGGGTTCCTCGGGCCGGATTCCCCTCTCCGCGCCCCCCGCCCCCCGCCCCTGCGAGCATCGCTGTCGGCGCCTGCGAGCTCAGCCGGGCCGGGCAGGGGCGCCGGGGAAGATGCAGCCGGGGGGCCGGGCCCGCGTGGGCCCCCCGCAGCCCGCGGCCCCGGGGCTGTGCAAGGCTCGGCCGGGCGGCGGCGGCGGCGGCGGCGCCTCCTCCTGGCTGCTGGACGGGAACAGCTGGCTGCTGTGCTATGGCTTCCTCTACCTGGCCCTCTACGCGCAGGTGTCCCAGTCCAAGCCGTGCGAGAGGACCGGCTCCTGCTTCTCGGGCCGCTGTGTCAACTCCACCTGCCTCTGCGACCCGGGCTGGGTGGGGGACCAGTGCCAGCACTGCCAGGGCCGGTTCAAGTAAGTGCCTTCGCCGGACCCCGCGCCCCCGCCTGCCCCGCCCCCGCCCCCGCCCCCGCCCTCGACGCGACCCCGGGTCGCAGCTCGCCGGCCCCTGCAGCCCGGGCGCCCCGGGCGCTCGGCCCCGCGCGGAGCCCCGCCGTGGTCGGGATGCCCGCAGCGACTTGTGCGCCCCTGCCCTTGAGCCTTTCCGTCCTCCGTTCACGGGGCCAAACACCATTCTGTTAGGTTCCCCCCCCCCTTTTTTTTTCTTTAATAAAAAATTATGCAGGTAACTCTTGAAATGCTTGAACGTTGCAAAAATATTCAAACAATGCAGAAGTATAAGGGTTAAAAGTTACGGTCTAGCGGTGCCTCCCTCTACTCGCATCGCCCTGCTCGCTCTAGAGAGGTAACACTGCTGACTTTTCAGTTTATTTAGTGTCATAATAGTGATCTTAAGAGTTCACGGTGGGCTTACAAGGTGCCAAAGACCGTGAAGCGCCTGACGTGGATTATCTCATTTGTTCCTCGCAACTCTGTGAGTTATTAGGATTATTAGGCCGGATTTACAGAGAGAACTCGAGGCGATGATGAATTTGAGTCGTTTGCCCAAGGTTATTACACGGTAGTAAGGTCCGAGTTGTGGTTCCAAATCGGCTAGCCTAACTCTAGGAGGTCTACATTTTAGCCAATAAATTGAATTTGCCAGGACGAGTTTAATTGAGAATACAAGAGTGATTTTGGGTAACCTAAAATGATGAAATGCCTGGACTTTTTAACGTGAAGAAAATGGATTTTTCGAACTGTTTATTTCACTATCAGTTGTTGTGTGAGAGCATGACTTTGGTTTTTCTCTGAAGCTCAAGGCCCCAAGGAGTTTGCTTTACAACGAGGATACTTCCCCTCTCTTGGCCGATGTTTATTAAATTCCGGCCTGATATGAAAAAGAAATAGGTGAATGGATGGATGGGTGGGTGGGGGTGCGGGGAGCAGTAAGTACCATAGTTGAGGCCGTTAGGGTAGCCGTCTGACCATTTGCAGATAACAGTCATTAAGTAAGGCAACTTTTTAAGACTTCTAGGTAGCTACTGTGAAATTTGCTGGTTGTTTTGTGGCTCCGAGATTATGCTATATAGATTACTGATATTTACTGTTAGGATGATAGCAAAATCTAAGTGAAATGTCTTGGGTTCTAAGGCAAAGGAATATGGTTCACCTTATTAATGGTTTATAGGAGGATGTCCTGGAAATTTTAAAGACAGCATATTTTCCTTTCTTTCTTTCTTTCTTTTTTTTTTTTTAACTGTTGCAATTTTGAACAATGCCTGCTTAAAGGGCACTTAGAATTTTAGGTAGATCCTACTATTTAAATTAATTTCCAGCAGGTTTTTGGAAGTTAGATCTCAAAATAGAAGTTGATGAAATCCATTTGTGGCAATAGATTGAAATGTTTTCTTCCTACTGTCACAAACTAGTATAATGCTGTAGTTTTTTGATACTTTTTATTTGAAAGAGATGCTAATTAAAAGTTTTAAGTATTTCAGGATAAGGAAAGCTATCTTACTGAATTGTGCTTGTGAGTAACCTTTATTACTTAAGTGGTTTTAAATTTTTTTAGATTTTTAATTTTATTAGAGAGAGCACAAGCAGGGGGAGTGGAGGGCAGAGGGAGGGGGAGAAGCAGGCTCCCTCCCAGGAGCAGAGGGCTCCATCCCAGGACTCCAGGATCACTACCTAAGCCTAAGGCAGACTCTTAACCCACTGAGCCACCTAGGCGCCCCTACTTAGGTGTTTTTAAACTTTGGCTATGACAACTGCAGCGAGCCTTTTTATCAAGCACGAATTTTGAACCTAGAAACTGGTAGCCAACAAAACAGCTGCATCGATTTTTTTTATCTTTCTAGGAATAAGTAGGAAGATAACCTGGTACATATGTGATTGAGAGATTTTGACCTTTTTGTGGGTTGATTTGCTCCATTTGTCTAAAGAGGACAAAGATTCCTGTAGTCCCAAGAAGCTCCTCTTACATTTTATAGTAGTGGAACTTGTTAATCAACTAGATCAGCAGCCTGTAACCTCACTAGCCGATGTTGTCCCAGTTAGTAGGAAAGATCACAGATCAATTTAAACTAACTTAAATAACATAAGGAGATGGTGTTCATAAACATAATACATTAGTGAGTAAAAGAGGAATAGCTTCTTAAATATAGTTAAATAACAACTAACCCTGAACTAATCATTGAATATAAATCATTTCCTTGGAAACTGTTATTTCCTGTGATTCATTGTACTGTATTGATAAGTATTTTTTCATTTCTTTATGGAATACAAGCTATTAATTAGAGTAAATATAACTGGCACTACTCTGTTTTATGTATACTCTTAGGGGTAAAATGTAGTATTTAATGTTAAAGGGAAGAATCAATTCAGAAGAAAATTCTTCCTGGTAAAGTATATGTTAAGCTAAAAAAAGGATGGTAGCTTGTTTTACTCAGCATTTGAAGTAATATAGTGGGAAAGACTTTACCTAGAAATTCTTACTTCATTAATTATCTTGAAAATCTTTTACTAACCTGAAGGATAGCAACCTAGCAAACAGATATCAAAAATGATCAATCTTGGTAAGCAGGTGTCAAAATTAATTGGCTGGTTCCATGGTAACTTAGTTTTTTTCTACGGTGGGGATTTCACTAGGGAATAAGAGTAGTCTTCAAATGGTTCTTTAGAATGGAAGATTGATGGTGGGGAGGGATGCAGAAGCAAATATGGTATCAAAAGTGGTACCTTAGTTCTCTTAGCACTGATTCCAGTCTTCTGTTTCTATTTGAAAAGAACAAAACACTCAGAATTATAAGCCATTTCTCGCATAGGTAAAACAAAATGAATACTTTGAACCTCGTCGAAAAGGTTTAGGAAAAGACAGTGCCAATTTGAAATCTAATAATTAGGATGTAATATACGCTAATTTGAAGTATATTTACTTGAGTAGCTTAGTATAACATTAGACTAGAGAACATTTTACTACAAGATTTGTTTAAATGAATGACATTTTCTTTTAGAAACTAGTTCTTTAGAATTTTTTTCTGTAGAGTAGTTGAGATTTATATTTATATAAATTTATATTTCATGTTCAGACTTGGACATTTTCTGGCTAATGTGACTTAGGAACCTATGTTTTTCTAATTTGTAAGCCAGAAAACTAAATGCTCTGAAATTGGAAAATATCTCATTCTGTGAATAATTTCTAAATGTAACTTTATTAAAACATTTATTGAATATTTAAAAAATCTATTACATCTTATTGTATTTTTAATGTATATTGATTTTTTAAAAAAGATTTTATTTATTTCAGAGAAGAGAGCACATGGATGCACAACTTGGGGGGAGGGAGAGAAGGAGAAGCAGACTCCCTGCTGAGCAGGGAGCCCTACTGGAGGCTTGGTCCCAGGACCTCGGGATCATGACCTGAGCCGAAGGCAAATGTTTAACTGACCGAACCGCCCAGGTGCCCTGTAATGTAGATAGATTTTTTCTTAATCTCTTAGGTTAATCAAATGTAGATACGGAAATTCTCACATTTTTAGTAGAAGTATTCTATTTCTGGTGACAGCAATGATGAAGATATAATATTGGGACTTCATTGCTGTTAAAAACAGAAAGGGGGGCACCTGGGTGGCTCAGTGGTTGAGCATCTGCCTTTGGCTCAGGGCATGATTCCCAATTTCCTGGAATCAAGCCCCACATTGGACTCCCCAGAGGGAGCCTGCTTCTTGCTCTGCCTATGTCTCTGCCTCTCTCTGTGTCTCTCATGAATAAATAAATCTTAAAAAAATAAACAGAAAGGGACAGGGTTAAATATGTAAATATGTTTCCTTAGCTACTACTAAAAAAAAAAAACCAAACACATTTGGAATCCTTTCTATTAATAGAAAAACTGTCAGTAATTATAAAGTTGCGTTGAATGCTCCCTGACCTCATGTTTGTTTTTCTTTAATTTGTTAATATTTTTACCCATAAGGTTTTTTTAAGCTTTTATTTAAATTCCAGTCATTAACATACAATGTAATATTAGTTTCAGGTATACAATATAGTGATTCAGCACTTCCATACAACTCTTGGTACTCATTGCAGTAAGTGTACTCCTTAATCCCCATCACTTACTTAATCCATCCTCCCTCCATCACCTTCTGGTAAGAGTCTTCTTTATTTAATTAAATTAATTTTTTTTAGAGAGATAGTATGTGTGCATGGGGGGAGGGCAGAGGCAGAGGGAGAGAGAAACTTTTTCCTTTTTTTTTTTTAAAGGTTTTATTTATTTATTTATTTGAGAAACAGCACAAGTGGGGTAGAAGGTGGATGGGTGGGGAGGGGCAGAGGGTGAAGTTCAAACAGACTCCCTACTGAACAGGGAGCTGACTGGGGGCCGGATCCTAGGACCTTGGGGTCATGACCTGAGTGGAAAGCAGACACTTAACCAACTGAGCCACCCAGGCACCCCAAGAGAGAGAATCTTAAGCAGGTTCCACACCCAGTAAGGACTTGTCAGACTATGTCACTCCTTATTATGTATACTCTTATAGTGTTCTTTTTCCTTTTTGATACTTTCAAGAGGCGTTATTCAGTTATGATTAAAATTTTTTCATTATTTTTAAGACCTTTTTTTTGAGGTGTAATTGACATGCAGTAAACTGAATGTTTGTAATGTTTTATTGTACATATACACCTCTGAAACTATCACCACGGTCAAGATCATAAAAATATCCATCACACCCAAAATTCCATGTGCCTCTTGATAATCCCTGTACCCAGGCAAATACTGAACTGCTTTCTGTCACTATAGGTTTGTTGGACTTTCTAGAATTTTTTGTAAGTAGAATCATATACTATGTACTCCTTCTTATCTGGCTTTATTCACAGTTTATTCATTTTGAGATTCATTAATGGTGTATCAGGGATTTATTCTTTTTAGTTACTGTGCAGTATTCCAATGTATGGATATACCACAATTTGTTTTTCAC